ATGTTTTGGTATTGGATATGCTGAACCACTTCGTCAGCATTTTGGTTTCTGTTAACTAACCTTACCTCTGGGGCTATTACCCTAGGTTCTTCGACAGGTTGTTCCAATCGTGCCCTAAGGTTTTCTTCGACAGGCTGTTGAGCCTGGTTAATGGTGGTTTCTTCCTCTAAAAATATCCCCTGATTTCCCCTTATTTGCGCCCTTTGGGGCTGTCGAATAGGTTGGGGTACTCCAAAGAAGTCAGCCAAACGCGTCATTTGTGCTGTCACTTGCTGATTCGATTGAGTAGCGTTTTGTATTAGAGGGTTTAGCACTGTACTCAAAGTTTGTGCCAACATTTGCACCATATCATGGTTGCTTTCGTCCATTTGTTGCCTCAAGACTGCTGTCGAGGCATTTGTAAGGCCATGGGCTACTTGGGACGTTCCTCCTAAGAGTTGGGTCCTATTTCTATTCGCCATGCCTACTCCAGAGCCTTGGAGTGGCGAAGAGGCACTCACAAAAGGGTCTGAAAAAGTGGACGCAGCATTCGTCAGGCTTGCCACTTCAGAAGTTGGCATACCATAGAATGGAATAAATCCTGGGGGAACCAAAGGCCTTGTGCCTAAATTTCCCCTTGGTGGGGGAGTTCCCAAAGGTATCCTGGGGCCGGTTAACGAAGGTATTAGCCCCGTGGTTGTGATCGATACTGCTGGTGTCGAACCAACATTTGTCGCGTCACTTACGGTCATACTAACCGTTGCTCCCCCACTCGTTTGTGGGATTTCGTTATTGTTTGGCGGATTCGCCATCTCTTCCCTTCTTCTGGCAGTATTGTTATCGTTAGTGTATATTCTACCACTTCTCAATAACATACAACTCGAAAAGATGAGATTATTTTCAACAATCAACACACAGTCCCACCAGGTGTGCCAATTTGTTTACCTAGGGTTTTGGTAAACAACCGCTGATCCTCCAAATGGTTACTTATTTGGTTACTCGCAGGATCGATCAGATTGATCCTAGGACATAGGTTGATTTTGAAGTTTGATTGAATTGGATAAGGCTTTAAATAAATTGGCTTTAAATGAATTGCATAAAGGAAAGACTTGGTAAAATAAACAAGGCTTTAAAGTAAAAGGTTCGACAAGAATGTAAAGAGGAAAGCAAGTAAATTTCTGGAAAAGTAAATGACTTTAATTGATAAAATTGGTGTTTCACACATACATTTCTCAACAATTCTTTCTCACACACTGGGTACTTGAATCTATATGAGTGACTTTGTATAGAATTGTGAACACACGCGAGAAACTACATGTCTACTCCTATTTATACTAAAACATCCCAAGTAACCGTCGGGCAGTTACACTGCTTCGAGATCAATCCACTTGGCACGCTCTCCACGTTCGACGCTCCAGATCCTTGCACGTTTGCACGTAGTAACTGCTGGAAACCGTTTTCCCTCCAATCGCTTGAATTTCAAACTGCTCCACTCTGAACCATCGAACACTTTCGTCAAGAGACATCTTCGACGAGAAACTCCTTCGACGTCGAAGGCAACCAGCCTTCTTCCTTGGAAGAAATCTTCTAAGTACTTTGCCATCTTTCGACGGGCACTTCGACAGACTTAGCCAGTCGAAAGCATTTTTCAGCTTTTAATGGTTGACATTGATAAAACAAGAGTGTCGAATTTAGGAGCCAACACTTATCCATGAATTTTTTGGAGATCATCTCCTATGACAAAGTCGTGGTATGAAATGTCATCTTTAATTTGATCATTGGAGCAAGAAAAATGGTGGCTTGATGAAGAAGTTACAAGGTTACAAAGTAGTGCATTTGAACATGAGAATTTAGGGACTTCAATGAAATTTTCACTATTCTTCAACTTTGCCCTTTTCATAAGTAATCTCCAATTTTGTGGGTTCCCCTGACCAAATTCACATATCAATCATGTTTCCATGAAATTTAACTCGGTGAGTTCATATTTGACCAAAAATCTCAAAAGTCAAAGTTTGACTTTGGGCAGTTGACTTTTCCAGATGAATTCAAATCTTTCAATTTCAATGGAATCTTTTGATTATGATGCAATCCTTAGCATGTCAAGATATCCTTGAAGTTCATAAGATGATGATATGATGTATTATTGAGTGATACACAATCGAAGACCTCTTGTTCCAACACACCTATCTTGTATAAGAAACAAACACAACAAGATAAATCTTTGTATTTTTATGAGGTTAGTGATGCACAAATAAATACTATGATTTCTAAATGACGAAAAAGGAGGTGCGATCTTAGGTCAAAAATTAGGGTACAACAGTTCAGTTCCTTGCAGACTGCGTAGATGAGTACTTGGAGTGGTATATTATTCTATCACACTCCCACATCATCCCACACATGTAGCATGGATATGATGTTGAACCTTTTCATGACGAGGTACCTTCTAATGATGTACCACCTCCTCCACCTCCTATACATGGTACAAATGATGACACCTCCTGTAAATGGTATTAGTCATTATGGATAACCTCATGGGTTTTGTGAACCTAAATGGCGAGGTTTATACTCTAGCATCGCGGGAAACACACTTAGCTCATTGGGGGACCTATTTAGACCTTATTATGATTTTTGTATTATTTGTATATTATGTATAGTGTTACTCAGACATTTGTAAAACATTGTTTATTAGATAACATTTTGATACTTCAATTATTGCATGATGGCCTTAACTTAATATTTGACAAACATTTACATAACTTAGAAAGACGATTACATAACTTAACAAAACAATAATAAATAATAAAACCTAAACAATATCAGATGATCCTGGATGTTTCAACACCTTGATTATATCGTCGATAGATCTAGAAATTGTTGCATCAAACTCAATCGTCCCATAGTTAGCCTGCGATGATTTGTTCCCCACATAACTTTCAAATATTCATCGGTCTTCAACTCAATAAGATTGTATTTCACATTTTAATAAGTACAATCTAGTTTGTACAAAACTCGATTCACCTTTTTGTTTTTGGTGTCGGGCAACATATTATTCAACTTGGATCTCAGAAGGGTAAGAAATATGGTGCCCTCTGGAAGCCAAAACTCTACACGAGGTTTGACCTCGTTGAAGTACACTTATGCCTTGAACAAAAACGGTTGCATTGTAATATGTTTTTCTTAACAACACATGACCTATATTTATACAACTTTATATTTATTCTGAACCACACAAAACAACCGCAGTCGCAGCAATACAAAACTATTGGCAAAATCTCAATCCTTTAATTTGCTTTATCAGATTTTTTTAGAGATCCACTAAAAATCTAGAAACTAGAGACTGATTTAGAAAAAACTGATACCTTTTATACTATCGAATTTTTTTTACCTTTATTCAAAAAATCCGATAAAAATAAGTACTTTAAAAAAAAAACTAGTATGTAATTCCTCATACCGAATTTTTGAAATATTGGGTATATTAGATTTTTTATATACACTATCAATTTTTTTTTGATTTGTATAAGAAATTTTACTTGTTCTATCAGATTTTTCCTCCAGACTTTATGATAAAATTTTAACAAAGATAATATATGGGGTGTTAGATGAAAGTGCGTGGGTGACAATCTCCAAATATATTGTTGGGGGTGTAGAATGTAGATGTAGCTATTTTGGGCCCAATAGTATGGGCCACATCGGGGCTCGGGTCATCAGAACAAAAGAAAAAGTAAACAAGGGAGCGGGTTGACCATACGACATCGTTTTAGATTGCGAGTAACCACTATCTCTCTCTACTCTAGGGTTTGATAATTAAATCGAGAACAGTTGTGAAGAAAACGAGTGTTCATCTCTTCGTTCCGAATCCTCTCCTTTGTGCTTACCTTCCTCGCTCAACCAGAATCGATCTCATGGCACCTCCACCAGGACCTTATTCTGGCACCAGCACCCTAGCTTTGGTAAAAACACTGTTTTCCCTGTTTTATTTTATCGACATTAATTGACTTACAGATTATTTTTTTGGGGGTTTCTTCTTTTATAGGTCGCTAGAGCTTCCGCGTTCTCTTTCGGTGTTGTTTATGGATCCATTAAGCTCAAGTTCCTAAAGGTATAGTAACGAATCCCTCTTTCTTTGGCACAATGTTTTAGCGATCTGGTTTCAGTTGATCTATTTAAGAAATCCCTTTTCATGAATCACAATCACCGCTTTGTGTTTATTTGAATTTGTCTGTGCGTGAGATGTATTTTTTGTTCCCCAGTTCTTTTTGACTGAACAACCCTGATTTATTATTGTTGATTTTATCAATCTAAAATTCAGCTCAGGTGTGTTATATGGATATGTTCTGATATGATTGTTCAACAAAATGTTTAAATTTTAATTTAACATTTTCGACTTTGAGAACTGTGTTACTAACTCAGTTCCAAAATACTAACATGCTTGCCGCAGTCTTTTATGATTATTATGCACTTTGTATAACTTCTGTCCAACCTTTAAGCGCATATTCATTGATGTTTGATTTACATTTGTTCTTATTTCAGTCAGAAGCCAAGTCTCAACAGGAAGCTCGGGCCAAGGCTCATCACTAAAAGTAATGAGATGGATGGAGCTGAATACCCAAATAATTCATGACGTGGAACAGTACCATGTTTTCTCTCAAATTTTTTCTTCTGATTTAAATCTTTAGTTAATCATAAGCATTGAGTTTAGTGCATTGTGAAAATGTTCAAATTAAGATGATTTTTGCCTTGTTTTAACAACTACCTTGTCTCTGTTTGAGTTTCAAGTTTATATTGCGAGGGCCTGTATTTTTTTGTTACTCTTCTAATTTACTTTTGTCTTCCTTTAGGTAATTACTATTTTGTTATGCTTTTTCAAATTTTCAGATTTGTTCTTAATTGAGTTAGTCGATCACTGTTTTCTTGTGGTAAACAACTGGATTTTTTTTCCAGAAGCCATCAATCCACCAATCCCATTTCTTGCAATACAAAATCCAATTTATTTCTAGGTCACAGTAGTTCCTCTATTAGCTATGATTTTTTGGGGCTGTTTCTGGTGTGATATCGACATTGAGCTAGCTATGATTTTTTGGGGCTGTTTCTGGGGTGATATCGACATTGAGCTTGTTCAAGAATTAAAGACACCTCTCTATTGGACAATATGTGGTTATCTTCTCCTCTCACCATTTCTGGTTGGAATTTTGGAAATGTTAATCCCATTTCGTCTGTTGTCTCAACATCTTAGTTACTCTTTTTTCAACCTATCGATAAGAAAAAAAAAGTCCCATTTCTTTTGTCGTCTCAACATCATAGTTACTATTTTTCCAATGTATTAATATTGATAAGACAAATGCAAATGCTATTTTTTTAACTTTTGAATGCTATATTTTTAATGTGCTTGGCAAACTAACAAGATTAATCAACTGTGGAGTTGTTATCCCACATTCTTAATTTATTTGATTATATTTTATACTTTATCTCATCTGTGCATTATGAAATAGTGCGAGAGAAGCAGAATAAATTCAATAGGATTGCGAAACCCAACTGTTGATCTCAATAGGAATGTCAAACACAACGAGGTTGAACTAGTGTATTCTATCATGGGCCAATTTGATACAGGTTCATACTAAAATCGCTAGTAGATGTTGGATTTTTATAATATGGTGACAGTTGAGAGAAGGTGGGGGTGAAAATGGAATGGAATTTTGTTAGTGTTGCAGACTATGATTCAGAAGTGGCTTGCATGCAAGAAATTTCACCCTATACTCTTATAATTATCCTCCCACTTATCAGAGCTATCAGTCCTAGATAGAAGAGCGAAGCGGCCGATCTTAAAAATGAAATAACGGGTTAGCAGATAGCATGATAATCACTATTTGAATATTTTTTGAACAAATTGTATGAATATTCTATAAAACATATATTTAATATAAAACTAAATTAATAACCCAACACCCATAGAAGATTCATAAAATCAAATATTAAAGCATAGTGCTTAATCAGAGCATTATATAAAATTTCTTAATCAAATTCGAAATATTTCATTCTAAAATTTAAACTTAGAGTACTATCATATGAAAATTCAAAACAAACATTGAAATATAGATCATTGTCAAATATGTTTTCCTTTTCAACATATTTTTCCAATTCTTCATCTTCTTCAACCACTTTTTGTGCTATTGTTGCCTTGCCTTAGATGTATTTGTAGTTGTAAGTTGCTTTGTCCTTCTAGTGTAGATTACAGACTCATTAATTTCACTTGCATTGGCAATTTGAGATTACATGTTGCTTTGTTCTACATGTTCACCAGTCTTGTCACCACATTCATATTTTTCAATCAAAGCTTGATTATGCTTGATGAAAATCAAGTCTTGCAATTTTTAATGTTGGGGTTTATTTCTCTTTGAATAAATCTAAAATACAATAATTTGAAATATTAGTTTAATAAAACTTGAATGTAAGATACTTTAATATCTTAGTAAAAAATAATACTTATTCCTTCCATTCTCTTTTATAAGTAAATTTTAACTTTTTAAATTCATTGAATAATTAATATATCTAATTTGTAGTATAGTTCAAATATATCATTTATTCAATTAATATAAAAAGTTAAAATTTACGTATAAAAGAGAATGAATAGAGTACATACTAAAACATGTTCCAATTACACTCACATCTAGAAATACTACAAGTCAAACTTAACACTTTAACCACCAATATTTTCAAATCAAGAGTTTCTACTCCATATATCAATAATTGTAAAAAAAAAAGAACTTCCACCTTACTTGGAACTAATGTTGATTGTTGACCTTTGTCTAATTGTTGCATATACTACAAATTGTTGCATATACACCAAAGAGATATGCATCACTCTTCTATTATGCCAATTGAACTGAAATCATATCTTACATATCATATGTCATCCAGTAAGTGTTTCAATGTATTTACATAGGCCTTTTGCCAATTTAGAATCATTCTAAATTTATGGTTTATTATAAAAGTATCTTGAATTTAGATAGTAACATGCAACATGTAGAGGACGATGAAGTTGACACCCTCAATTTTTTTATCAATAATTAGAAATACGTTTTTGTACTTGCTTGAATTAAACTTGAAAGCTTTTTCAATTGATTCCTTCACTATCCCCATTGCAGAATATATGTAATTCATTGCAAGTTTTTTATTCATTATCAACTATTCTTAACACATCTACAAAAAAGTGTTATGATTTTAATAGTGCAAATAATATCATTCTAAAATAATGGCATACATATAATACTACCTTTTCTATCTTTCCAAACACCCGGCATAATTGAAAATTCATATTTAAGCCTTCGCGCTTCATGATTCTTCAACAATTTTTTAATATGTTCCAACTTATTTTAAAAGAGTAGAACCCTCATTTCATGAAAGCTTGACGGTTTCAAATGAGGACCACATGTTTCAACAATTTTCAACATTAACTTCAAGGTTTTTATAATTGCTTCGATGCAACTCGAATTTGAAAGTTTTTGTAATTTCATGAAAGCTTGATGGTTTCAAATGAGTATCCTTCGATGCAACTCGAATTTGATGATATCCTGAATGTAAGTCTATCTTGGTAAAAATATTGGCATGTTTTAATTCATCTAGGAGTTCGTCAATGGTGGGAATAAGGAAGCGGTCTTTGACAATGACAACGTTAAGTGCTCTGTAATCAACATAAAAACACCAACTACTATCTTTCTTTTTGACAAGTAGAACAGGGGAAGAAAAGGGGCTGGTACTTGGAACAATTACGCCATCCCTAAGCATGTCCTGAATCATGGATGTTATAGCTTCTTTTTGGGAGTGTAGATAACGATAAGGCTTCACATTGATAGGTGGGATATTTGGAATTAGTGGAATGTGGTGGTCAAAGGGTCGGGAAGGTGGCAGATTTGGATGACCATCAAAAACAGTGGGACTTGTTAATGGGGTTGGTGATATTAGAGTCCAGCGGGTCATGGGAGGGGTTAATGGTATCTTGGGCTATTTTGAAAGGTCAGAAGGTGAAATGATGTGATGAAGTCTGTACGTATGAGTTGGCATAATTGATGAAAGGTAGTAAATGATGGAAGGAACTGATAAATTACCATTAATTGGTCCAAGAGTGCGTAACCAAGTCATCCCTAGAATCACATCTTCACCTTCAATAGGTAAGAGATAAAAGGGTAGGGTAAACTGTTTGTTTTGAAGGGTAAGTTGAACATTGAGACAAATGCCATCACAATGTAAATGTGATCCATTTCAAACCATGACAGAGAATTGTGGAATATTGGTTGTTGGGATGTTGAGATGGTGGGAAATTCATGGTTGTAAAATATTATGAGTGCTTCCGATATCAACGAGAACTATAACTTACAGTCCCCCTATAAGACCTTGAAATTTTAGTGTTTGCGGATAAAATTGGCCAGTTACGGTGTGAGGAGATAATTGAAAATATGCATCGTTTGCTTCAGCCTCTATGACTTCTTCGTTAGCAATTAAATCAGTCTCTATAGTGGCATGGTTTTCATCCTCAACTAAAAGGAGCAGAAATTTGATTGAAGCACATGTGTGACCTGGAATAAATTTGTCGTCACAATTAAAACAAAGACCTTGAGCACGTCGCTCTAGAATTTGTGTGTTTGATAAACGGTTGATGGGAAGTTTAGTAGGTTGTGCGGGCATGGGAGGTTTTTTGGCAATGCTAGGTTATGAGGAAGAGCTAAAACGGTTAAAAGAGGTGGAGTATGGCTTCTGAAATTTTAGTTTGGCAGCATTTAATTTGGATTCAATCAGTTTAGCAAGCCCAATAGCTTAGGAAATAGAAACAGATTTAAGAACAAGTAATTCACTTTGAATCTCAGGTATTAAACCAGAAATAAAACAGTTAAGAATGGCATCTGACGGTAAGACAACAACCTGATTACCCAATTTTTCAAACTTGTCTTGATAATCTAGAACATAACCAACTTGTTTCAATTTAAATAGCTTATCTTGATGGTTAGTGTAAGTAGAAGAACCAAAGCGCAATTTCAAAGCTTTAGTAAAAGAATTCAAATATGTTAATTGTTGATTTTGATGCATTCACTTAAACCAACATAAAGCATTACCCTTCATGTAAAATGACATCATAGACAATCTATTTTCAGGTGTTAATTGGTAAAAATTGAAAAATTGGTCCGTTTGAAATAACCATTTGAGTGGATTAGAACCATCAAACATTGCAAGTTCTAGTTTAGGTGTCCGAAAAAAGGGGTAAGTGGGAGGGTTGAGGCATTTGTGGATATGTAATTTGTGAATAGGGAATTTGTGAATAAAATGGTAGGTTATAATTCTTTGTGGTGGTAAAGGAAGGTGGATTAGTGATAAATGATGGGTCTAGAAAGGTTTGGTTTCTTGACAAATCTTGTGTAAGAAGCTACTGTATAACAGAAGGCAACAATAACAACAGGTGTGGTAGAGTTGTGCGAAAGGGTAGTGGAGTGTATCAGGATGGTGGTAGCATTAGTGAAAATCGGAGAACCATGGGGTGAAGTAGCATGATGGAAAACAAAATTAACATGGGTGGTTGTAGTCATAGGAATAGATGAAGTTATTGTCTTATATCTGAAGAGCTTGCAGCAAATCGTGTCACTTGTTACGGTTCCTTTAAAGCTGCAAGTTTGGTAAGAAGACCCATCATGTTCTCATAGTGAGAATCAACAACTTGCTTCTCATTGTCCATTCTCGTCTGGATCTGCTCCAGATCTGAGGTAGTTTTCTCAAATCTCTCATCAAGTTGCTGCTGAGTTTCAGCCATAACCCGATTAAAATGAACATGTGAACTTTGAACGGCTTCTTCAATAATTTCTCGGGAAGAAGGATTGGGTGGTTGAGGGGTATGAATTCAAGATGAAAACACCAATGATAGACCTAGCTAGAATAGAAATCAAATTAAAGTTTTTAAAGAAGGATAAACGTAAAATAACGTGAACAAATATTTCATTGATTGCTGCCTCATACAAAAACTACAACTTAAATAGTAGGGTTATCTAAGATAATGGGCATGTGCCTCTTTTTAAAGGACAACTTAAAATTATAAATTGAGAAGTTACTAGTACACTCCTCTAATACTGAATGCTATCCTCCAACTATTTGGGCTTTCTTATACTTCTTTTGGGCTTTTGTAATTCTTTCCTAACACCCTGTATCCCGACCATACATAATAGCTACCATTTCGTTCTTCCTTTTGAAACAATTTATCCTCCGTAACCTCCACCGCTAGTGGCACTTGAAGAATATCCTCCACTGTTGCATAATCAAAAATATCACTTAGAACTCTCAATTCCCA